CATTGGGAATATCGCCATCTCTTCATCTGTCTAATTCTGTAAAGAAGCAAAATTCTGAGAGTATATGGAACATTTGGATTTTTAAGAAAAAATATAGTTAGAACTTCAAAATCAGCTCAACTTAAGTGATGTATCAACACATATACTGTAAGGTTAATGAACATGTTTTTTTTCTGACTTTTTTAAAATTGTAATTGTTGTGTATAATAAACATATAACTGTATGTCTCTCTCTCACATGAATATGGAAATCTTCCTCTTTTAAGTGTGAATTAAACAGGATGAGTGGGTTGGTGGGAGGCAGTGGGCAGATGGGAAGCTGTATCAGACTGTTCCCCAGCTTCAAACAGCAGTGATGGCATAGCCTATTAGCCCTCAACGGCGCTAGAGTACATCTCTGTCTTTTTCTCTGACACTGTGTGGGCAGCCAAGGACAACAGTCAATGAGCAATATCAATTTACATAATGGACTATTAAACAATGTGCTTAACATTTAGAATGGCTATGCTAGTGTTCAGTGGGACTGTGTGCCAGGGAGTCCAGTGCTGTGTAAATGAAGCACATTAGAGTGCACTGCTGACTGCTGTCATGCTCACTCTCCTCCTGTAGTTGTACTGACCTGGATCACAGGTGTGAAAGAACATGGAGAGATCAGGTGATGTTCTCTAGTGAACGCATACAAATACAAGGGGGATTCAAAAAAAAAAAAATCTATGTGAAATTAACAAAGGATTTATCAACATGGACTGAATTTAATTTTCTCTATCCCTTGAGTTCATGTTTTCTGTAGATCAGCCGATACTGAATTTCCAAACTATCAGAGGTATTAAATTATAACTAAAACATTGCACCTTAAATCGTGGAATCGTCCCAGGGTTGGCCTGCAGAGACGCTCGTCCTGTTCTCAGATGAACAGGTACAAATACATTAGTCAACGCGCGTCGTTTTAATTGGAGGGGATTAGTAGATTTGTCTGGATCATGTTCATCGTAAATTCAATTATTATTTACCAAGGTACGGTTGTTGTTGTAGAAATGCATTTGATTATGTCACAATGACAGCGTCCAGGAAAAAGAGTCTGTTTGACAGACGAGGAGTCAGGTGTTTGACCAGGTAATTGAGGCAGCCAATGGTTGATCTGTATGCAGTGAAATATTCCGTTACATCCTTAGACGTAACACAACTGTGTCTGGGGTTTACTGACCTCAGACATTACACAACGTTAGTTTTATGTGTTTTATTTAATGGTTGTGCCTAATGGTCCAGTTACTTCTTAAATAATGGTCAACATGAAGTCGACAATGCTCAAACCTTTAATTGGTGAGACTTTCAATTCAATTTCATTATATTTGATGATATTTGCTCCAAACAATGAATCAAATAAAACATATATCAAAAAATAGAAACATATAATGATAAAACTTGTCTTATAATTAAAGGTTAGGGTAAATATTGTGTTATATGTTTTATTTTCACAGCCTATACTGTGTTTGCAGACCAAACCCAATACCTTTTGTAGACTTCAATCTTAATTCTCATTCATATTCATTTTAGAAAATCCCAAGATTAAACACGGCCAAGATTCTGCTTTAACTTGAGGATTTTCAGAGAGTTTGAGTGCCCAGAGTGAACAAAATCAATATGAGAAAAACCCACAGTATCAAATGTAATCCTGGACTGATTTTAAAATAACCCTCTGTGGTGAATTTTGTAAATAAATACCGTGATGATGGTAAATGCACCGTATTTGTTTTGTTATAAACCTGTCGTCTCACTTTATGAAGACACATAGTGTTTATTGTGTTTGTCTCTGTTTATTCCAGACTCACTCAGGCTAATGGGTGTTTCTCCTGCAGCGTCAACGGTGTGACCACTGTTGTATCGAGTTTCACAGTGCAGGGATTTTACCTGACTAACAGAGTTAGTTTAGATGTTTGTTCATCCTGCCTTTGGTTACTGTGTGGCTCTGTGTGACGTCATGCTGGGCTCACGCTGATAAAAGTGGGACTGGAGGCTAAATTAAATTTAAATGTATTAAATGAACTTGTGGACAGTTTATTATATTGTTGTGTTGATAAAAATCTAATTTAAATTATGTTAAATATATATATATATATATAATTTATTTCTTTGCGAATAAATTTAACTGGAAATCACACAGCAGAGTGTTACTAATTAGTGGAGAAATTAGTAAAGTCGTTGAGGACTTAATGTTAGTTCGCTTCCACACGTGACGGTGACGTCACACGGACTGTCATGTCCGGACTTGCAACACAGTAACAATGGACGTTGGCGTTGGCTGCAGCCCTCGGCGGACCCTCGTTTCCTGCAGGTAAATCGCTCCATGACGGCCGTTTTTTGCATCTTTTTCCCAGCAGTGACGCAGACATTATTGTGCATTAGCGATATTTCTAAATAGTTACGGTACTGCAAAACTTACGAGATAATATTTTTATTGCACATCGTATGAATGTGCAGCGTGGGCCACACACGTGAGAAGTTAATGTCAATCAACTGACGTACTTCCTGTCCGGTTTCCTCACGTATTTACGCGTGTCAACTTGTTGGCTGTCATTGTCCTTTTGAAGAAAAAGGCACGTATTTTATACGTTTACCGTCAGTTAGTATCTTTATTATGCCCTAACTTCTCTCTTTTTTTTTTTTTTTTTTTTTTTTTGCATTTTTGCATTTTATCACATGTATGGGGATTTGTTAAATTACCTCTAGTAAATGTCTGCAACAACAACGCACAAAATTAAGTAGATTGACTTTGTTGTATTTACTGCCATTGTTCATTGTCATGACTTGATATAACCTTTTTTATATTTTAATTTAATAAATTAATATCATGCAAGGAATTGTTAAATGTGTTTACTTTTATTAACAATTAGGTAGTAAATATTATTTTGTTTTTCTAGTAAAATTAGATTACATGAAATCAGCATATTTATTCTATTTTATTAAATAACTCAAAGTGCATTTAACAGCATTTATTTATCTATTTTTTTATGCGTTGTCCTCTGAAGGAGCACATCTGGGGGAAAAAATGTGTAAATTACGTATGTTGTAATTTATTTCTGATATTTTTCAACAGTAAATCTCTTTATTTCTGCCCCAGTCAGCGCATGTGAGTAAGTTTGAGTCAACGCAGATCATTTTTTACCCTAATGTTGAAACCCCCCTGAAGGGGGTTTAGCTGCTGTTATATTTCATCTTGATCATTTTGCTGATCTGTATTTATAATTACACCTTATAAGAACTGTTCATTTAATACGGTGGTTTCTAAACTGTGCAGAGGACTATTGTTACAGCCCCCTCCCATGCCCACACATTCCCAGCTATTGCTTTAAGTCACCACATAACTTATGTGTATACTATATATATATACTGTATATATCTGCAGTACTTCTGCGCCCCACATTTTGGGAACCACTGATTTAACAGGAGTTTGTATTGGGTGTATGTGTGGAGTACAGTTGAGGTCAAAGTTGTTAAACCCTACGTGTAAAATTAATTAGGACCAGAGTGTTTATGTGTTTCCTGATATATCAGTGCATGACTGGACCAGAGCTTCAGAGGTGTGGTGAAGTGCTGCAGTGTAGTTAAGTCGAACTAGAGGCATTCCCAAGGTCTGTGCTGCTGATATTGGAAAACCTGTAACCCTCATTTCCAAGAGCACGGCACAGTGAGAGATCTCTAAAACCCATTTCCTGC